TGTGTTTCTTCTTAGTTGCAGTACCATGGATAGCACAAGTCTCAGGGGCCTCATATGTTTTCTTAGTTAAATTATCTTTTATTTCCTGGGAGAGAAATATGGATACACATTCTCACCGTGGGGACTTTCTTGGGAAAACTCTGAGTATAAAATGGGAAGAAATTTGGCAATGACAGTTAAGGAATGGTGATCAGTCATAACCCATTGATCTGTAAAGAAAGATGATTGTCTTTAATATTCTGCCATTGATTACTGTGGTTCTACGGAAAACAAAGAAAGGGAAATAGAAAGAAGTAGTACTGTTTTTGTTCTTTCTAAATCTGACTCTTCACTGTTGGTAATAATAATAGATTATTTTCTTTAATTTTGTGACCTCAAAGCTCACATTTTTCTCTGGGAGAATGAGGCTGGTTTCTCCAACGTGTATCCTTACTTCTTGCTGCATCCTGTAGGGAAAAATATCTTATCTGCTTCATCCAAGGAATATTAATATGCCATCTGACATTTACTCCATCTTTCTAATAAAAGTTATAAATACCATGTAGTTTGTCCATATTTGTATTAAAGTCCATTCTTGTTGTTTTGAAGGAATATATATCCATCATATTAATAATTGCTTGTTATGAATATAATAGAAATAAATAACATTTATTATGTGCTCATTGTTGAAGTTATTGTTCTTAACTTCTTTACATTTATCAGCTCATTTAATTCTTTCAAACAACCAGTGAAAGGAATACTAAAACCGTTTCTGTGTTATCACAAGAAAACTGAAGCTCAAAGAGTTAAGTAAATTTTGCTGTTGTTTCCCCCAAATTTTATTGAGGAATAATTGATAAATATAGTTACATACACTTAAAGTGTATAACACGATGTTTTGATTTACATATACATTGTGAAATGATTACCACCTTCTAGATAATTAACACACCCATCACCTCATGTCATTGACTCTTTTTTGTGTGTGTCTGGTAAGAATGCTTCAGATCTACTCTCAGCAACTATCGTATTCAATATTGTACTATTAACTATAGTGGTATTAAATTTCCCTGTTTTGCAATTAATTGTGAAACTAGAATTCAAACTGAGACTCTCTAGTTTACCAAAACTGCAATGTGTTCTCCATTTTTCCAAATTATCACCCATCTGAAGTTTTTTTTGTGTGTGAAGAAGATTGGCTCTGAGCTAACATCTATTGCCAATTTTCCTCTTTTTGTTTGAGGAAGATTGGCACTGAGCTAACATCAGTGTCAACCTTCCTCTATTATATGTGGCATGTCTGCCACAGTGTGGCTTGATGAGTCATGCTAGGTCGCCCTGGGATCCAGACCTCTGAACCAGGGGCTGCCAAAGCAGAGCACGTGAACTTAATCACTACACCACCAGGCCGGCCCCTAAACCATCTGAATTTTATCTACAGTTGTATAGCAATCTTTCATTTTGATGAAGTCATGACCAGTGATTTTTCTCTCTATTTTGTCTCTCCAAGTTCTTGTTTATAAATTATTTTTCTCCTCAATCAAAATAAAATTGTTTAAATATTTTTTTATTACAAGGCAAACTTCGTGGGCATGTAATGTATGCAGTCACACAAGGTCCATGCTCAGTGGAGTCCATGCTTGATTTCATGCTTTGCTTTCACCATCTTGAAATTCTTAACAATTTTTGAGCAAGAGACCCTGTTTTTCTCTTTTTCCCTGAGCCCCATAAATTATGTAACTGGTCTTGTTTATTAGAGTTTGAGTTTTATATTTGCTATTTAGAGCTATAGTCTTATAGAGTTCATGTTTGCATGCTGTGAGATAATCAGCCAGAATTGGCTTTAATTGGTCTCTGTGTAGACAGACAAACTAGCTATTCTTTCTTCGCAGATGTATCATGCCATTTCTAGGAAATTCCAGGTTCCCCCAAGTGAATGGTCTATTTCTCTGTTTTAAAAAATTGAACAAGATATATTTTAATTAGTATTATTTTATTTTGGCTCAATATCTTATAAAATGGATCCAAGCTTTACTCTTCTTTTGTAAAAATTCCTTGAGGAGTTTTGACAGCTCATTCCCCAAGCAATTTCAATGTTATAGGCAACTCTGTTTACAGAAGAGACATCTAAGTCAAGCATATGGTAGTGGGTTAATACCGAGATCCTTGGGTAAATCCAGGATTCTTGAACGATGATATTGTAGTGAAAGGAGTGTATGACGGACAAAAGTCTACTGACATACAAAGGAAGATTACAAAGAGTTCCTATGCTGAAGCTTAGGTTCTGAAATTTAAAAATAAATGAGAAAATGTAATTGCCTGCCCTTTATAGTGTTTACAGTTTAAATTTATACCATTCTATCTTATGGAAACTCTCAGGACAAGATTTAACATAAACATTGTTCTTAGGATGGTTATATCCCTGGATCTTCTGGCTGAAGTAAATAGATCTGAAGTTATACATTCAGGGATGCCCTAAAGAATATTTAACAACCAATATATTAAATAACTTATTTATTATGTATCATATAATCTTCTAACTAAATAAAAATATATATTATACGGCCGGCCCGGTGGTGCAGCAGTTAAGTTCGCATGTTCCCCTTCAGCTGCCCGGGGTTCGCTGGTTTGGATCCCGGGTGTGGGCCTACACACCGTTTGTCAAGCCATGCTGTGGCAGGCGTCCCATGTATAAAGCAGAGGAAGATGAGCACGGATGTTAGTTCAGGGCCAGTCTTCCTCAGCAAAAAAGAGGAGGATTGGTGGTAGATGTTAGCTCAGGGCTAATCTTCCTCCAAAAAAAAAAAAAAAATGTATTATAGAGCTCTTTCCTGGATGATATAATTACACACATAAATTATCGTTCAAATCATTTGAATAATTTCCAAATAATTCATTGATTTTAGAGGATTTCTTCCCTTTTCATTTGTTTCTTATGACTCCCTCTAGGTGAATGATGCTGTGTTTCTTCCATAATTTGACACAGGGGACAGCAAAAAATTTGCCCACAAATTTCCCATTACATTGGTAGTCACTAGGCTACTTGTGAACTCATCACTATAGAATTTCTCTTGACATAATCAATACTGTTTTTGTAGCTGAAACTTTTACCAACTTCTGTTGAACTGAAATAAGTTTATTAAAATTTCCAGTTCTTATACTGTGAAAAATGTATATATTCAATCTCTTCATAAAGAAGTCAAAAATCTGTTAAGTGAAATGTCATGTAATTAATTGATTTAATTTCCTATTAAATTTTGTGTTTACATGGTGGAAAAATTCTTGTGACTAAAAATATAAAGTCTGACAAATTGAAAAAGCACCTCAGATCTGTTTATTCTGAAAATGCATCAAAACAAGGTTTGATGTTTATGTTTTCCATGTGAAGAGAACTCAGCTTGAAAAAGTTAGGACACTTATAAACTAGGATTTGCTAATTTACAAAAACATTTTCGTAGAGCACACTATAAAGTTGCTTTCAAATTGCCAAGCAAAAAAAGCCTGATGGAGGAAATTTAGTGAAGTCAGGTGCCCTGGAAATGGGGCAGATGGCTTATAGAAGGGAACTGAGGAAAAATTGGAAGGGACTTCTTTGTTAAAGATGAAAATTAATCTGGAGTAGTTGATCTTTCTTTAAACATTTTGAAGTAGATTGTTGAGGAGCAACATCCTTGACGTTTCTCTTCAGTGAACAATTGGGTGAAACTGCAGACATCTCTCAATATACGAGATCTTTTTGTCTGTTTGCTCTGCTCAAGCTGATGTTATCAGAGAATTCCTATTTTATGAATTTTCTTTGTAAACTCTTAAGGTCACTGAAGTTTTAGAAATTATAAAAGTTTTTGTTTTTTGTGAAACAAGGTTTTGTAAAGAAAAGTTTCACACTTTGCTCAGATGGAGCTTCTGTGATGTTTGGTGACGCATCTGGTTTTGATACTTTAGTGATGGAGGAAGTTCCTGAATTCTTTTCATTCACTGCACTTTACACGGGCATGTTCCAACAATACAAATGTTTCCAACAACACCGAAAATCCACAGTGAGAATAGCCATCAGAAGTTATCAGAATCAGAGCTCTGTAGCACTGAATTTAAAAAAGATTTTGTCATGAAATGGGGTCATAATAAGAAGAGCTTGCCCATCATGCAGAATCTGTCTGGCTTTCTGAAATCTATTTTTTTTTAACAAAACTGTCACATTTGGGACACTTCAGAATAAATATTTTTATCTAGATTTGGCTTATCTGGCAGACATTTTTAACCATAGAAATGAAAAAAAATCTTTTAGTTGAAAGCCTTGCAGTCACCATTATGGACACTACTGAAAATTGTTTTTTTTTTAAATTAAGCTAGAGAATGATCTCCTACTTTCTATATCATGCAATTGTGTATTATTTCACTTCTGTGTAATGAGAACGCTTTGTCTTTATTATAAGGAAAAAATTGTGCTGTGAAAAAATAAGTATTTTGGCAGAAGTCTGATCTTTGTAATTGTGCTTGATGGAGGCTAACGTAGTCAAATAAACCAACACTTGTTCATTGATTTACTTGTTATTAGGTCAGTTGAATGTAAGAACAACCCTCTGAGAGAAATAAAAAGAATTTACTCTTCTTTGGTTATCTATGTAGAACTCTCAACGTCCTACCTAACTGATGCTGGCAAGTGGGAGAGCTGGATTTCCAATCCAGATGCATGCACTACAAAGTCTGTGCCATTTCCCTGCACTGATATTAACATGAGATTATCCACCCTTCTGGGGAAGCTGAACAACTGAAGGAACAGGCAGTAGGACATGCTGGGTAGCAGGGGAAGTAAGTCTTTCACTTAAAACATGCCTGTAAAATGAGATAACTCACTAAAACCAAATATATGAACTTAATGATTTAAAAAGATACATTGCACAGGTGAAAGGTAGTGGTTAGGAATTATTTTCTATTTGGATATTCCACCAGCTTTGCTTTCTCTGGCTTCTCGTGTGTCATCATCATTGAGTCTCCCTGTTTGAATGGCAGATTCTTTGGGTCTAGGACACTAAGAACTTCAGAGCTTCTTTCACATCCTTGTTGTGGAATATATAGATGAGAGGATTGAAAAGTGGAGAGATGACTAAGTAGAAGATAGCCACAATCTTTTTGATGTTTGATTCATATTTTATTGCTGGGCGGACATGTATGAAGATGAGAGTGCCAAAGTAGATAGTCACCACAGAAAGGTCAGCTTTGAATGTGGAAAAGGCCTTGTGTTGGGCAGCAGTGGAAGCCATGGCTAGAATTGTGGCCAGGATTTGGGCATAGGAAGCCATGGTAAAGACCAGGGCTCCTAAGATAATGACAGTGCTACAAGCACAGCCCACTACTGGGATGGCATATGTGTCTGTGCAGGAAAGGCAGAAAATCTGATCAGCATCACAGAAGTGGTTGATCTGGTTGGGAATACAGAAGGAGATTTGTACAAGAAGGAATGAGAGGAACGTGGGGCAGAGGAATCCCACAGACCAGGAGACCCCAGCCAGAATACCACATGATTGGGGGCCGAGTAGCAGTGGGTAGTGGAGTGGTCGGTAGATGACAGCATAGCAGTCAAAAGCCATGGTGGTGAGGATGAAGAGCTCAGTGCCAGCCAACGAGAAGAAGTAGTACTGGGCACTGCAGTTGTATTTCCATACGACTCTTCGTTTCTGGTGCATTTTCGGTCAAGCCAACAGTTCAGGAACCTCTTCTGGATAAAGCCAAGTGTCTCAGTGGGCTGATATTTCTCATTCATTTAATGCTGCTCTCCAGGAAATCTGTAATTGGTTCTCAGGGGCCTCTCCCCTCTGGGCAATTGTCAGCCCTCCTTTGTGATAAAGGGAAGGACCTACAACGAAAGGACAGAAGAGTCTTGGAGCTAGAAAAGGAGATGCAGAGTGGAGGATAGAATGGTTCTGGGGAGTGGAGGGTGACAAGCATGACATTTCTAATCAATATCCTACATTATTTCAGATTGAATGCCAGGAGGGAGGGAGTTGAAGCAGGAAACTTCAATATTCTGAAGTGTTCAATAAATCTTAGCACATATTCTCTTCACCATTTTTTCTTTAATATTGCTATTTCTGATGAGTTTCCTATTTTTGTATAATTCTTTATAACTTAGTTCAAAGGTCCTTTAAATAAAAACTATAGATTTTGTCTTCATAGACTTTATAAAGATATAATTTCCACTGCATACATTTTTAACTTTTTACAATGTAAAAATTTTACCAGTTCACATTTTTTATGTTTCCCAGGTACCAGGTAAACTGTTTTCTTTTTCTATTTATCAAATTATGAAAATGTAGACATGTCGTAATAAATGGAAAAAAGATAAATCAGTAACATTTATTTTAACCTAGGGATTTAAAAAGTCTCTTTTTCAAAAGTATTTAAGGAAATCCCAGTGTTCCTCTGGAATGCTACTGTTGCTACTTTTTCCATTGGGCCTTTAAGAAGTTGATTTTCAATCTTTCCTGTTGCGTCTCAACATCTTTCCTTTTGCTATTCTCTCCTGGAGATGGAGAACAGTAGATGTTCATGAGGACAGCTTCAGCTGGAACATGTTATAGAATATGACACCCTCACAGCAATTTTTTCATAGTGGGAATTTATCCTCCTACTTTCTTAGGGGCTAACAGAACTGGGACGTGCTTAAATGAGGTTTTCTATAATTTTTTTTTAGTCTTTTTTCTGCTTTATTATAGAGTAAATTCCAAACAGGATTGAAGAGAGTTAACAGATTAAAAATTCAAACTAAATTAAGATTTATCCACTATTTGTTTTTTGGTTATAAAAATAACATGTTAAGCAGACATTGCAAAATATATGAGAATAATTTTTTTTCGTTCCCAAAGATAAATTCAAATTCAGTTTGGTATATTGCCTCAAATATTTTTTTCTTGGAGTGTTCTTTGAATTTCTTTTCAAGAAATGGTGATAGTTTTAATTGAGGGCTCCCTGCTATAACTTTTACATGTATAGAGCTGAGTCTGTGATGGCTGTTTTTCAGAAATTAGACAGATATTTTGCACTATTTTCTCTTCCATATCTGTTAGTATGGTGAAATTCATCTTGATTTCAAACTCTTCCTGCATTTTTTGGAGTCTTCCAACTCTAAATTCAGCCCCTACTCTCTTCCATGGCTGCTCTGTTTTTAAGGGAATAATGGTCTCTTCTCCAGTTAACCCTGCTGTTGCTGTATCTTTGCCATTTCTCTATAATCCCCACATCATACTACCTTCTCTTTACGTTCCTCTTTCTTTCCACTCTACCAACTCCTTGAAAAATAGAGTTGGGAATGCAGTCATCTGAAAAGCCAGGATTATGTTATGACGTGAAAATAGTTTTCACTATTTTCACGCAGTAGTTAAGTTCGCATGTTCCATATCAGCAGCCCAGGGTTCTCCGGTTCGCATCCTGGGTGCCTAGCAGCTTGACAAGCCATGCAGTGGCAGGCATCCCACATGTAAAAGTAGAGGAATATGGGCACGGATGTTAACTCAGGGCCAGTCTTCCTCAACAGAAAGAGGAGGATTGGTGGTGGATGTTAGTTTAAGGCTAATCTTCCTCAATAAATAAATAAATAAACAAATAAAACAAAACACTTCCAAGAAAAATCTGTTGTTGAGATGGAATACAACCACGTTTCCTTGAACTTTGCAAGCAGAGTCTGTGACCTCACACACACATTTATTTAAATTACGTGTTCTTGGGGCCGGCCCAGTGGTGCAGCGGTTAAGTGCGCATGTTCCACTTCGGGGACCCGGCTTCACCGGTTGGGATCTCCGACATGGCACTGCTTGGCAAGTCATGCTGTGGTAGGCATCCCACATATAAAGTAGAGGAAGATGGGCATGGATGTTAGCTCAGGGCCAGTCTTCCTCAGCAAAAGGAGGAGTTTTGGCAGCAGTTAGCTGAGGGCTAATCTTCCTCCAAAAAAAAGAAAAAGAAATAAATTAGGTGTTCTATTTGGGAATAAGAAATGAAAATTTTCTTTTGTTTGAGGTCGACTGGCTCATGTACAGGTGGATTACACCACCTTGGCCTCATTGAAAACAGCTTACTACCCTGAGCTCCCATAATATTTATATTTCACTCTTTGCTGCGATTCTCATCTAAGCTGTTGTTTTCTAACTGCATCCCTGGATAAATCTGTGTTGTTCAACATTTTTCAGTGGCTTAATGAAGGTAAATGGTACCTGGGGATATTGCAATATGTTTCTTCTCTCCTTCCAATGTTGTGTGTGTGTTGGGGGCTTGGTTTTGCCAATACTTAAGTTTTTGTGGATTCTTACAGATTGCCACCCAGGGACATATGCCTGTGACCACTGCCCCTTCTTTACCCTCTTGCCTTTGGAGGTCAATATCACTTCCTTTCCTTTGGTTCCCCTTCTTACTCTTAACCTCATTCTGCATTCCCCAAAAGCTTTTAGAAGATAGTTGCAATGGGAGAAATGATACTATTGTTCCTTTGAACAAAGTTGTGAAATTTATTGCAATAAGCACATCAGTTTCTCAAAAAAAAAGAATCGTTAAACTTATGTTTGTCCTTGATGCACTGTCCTCTACTCCACACCTTTCTGATCAGCTAGCTGAAGTGCTATCATATAAAATAAGGAATAGACTTTACTTATGACCTGGAGCATGAATAGGTGGAATCTACAATAATTAAATCTTGGTTCATTGTAGGAATACACTACTAAGAGTCAGTAGGATCCAATGTTGACACTGACTTTCTGGGGAGGTGGTGCTGGTGAGCTGTTTATTACTGGAGGTCTTCTAGCCTGGTTTGCACGCCTACCTCTCTTCCTGTAAAGGAATTCTGTAGAATGAATTTAAGCCTCAGATTGCGCTTGGGCCGAATAAATGATCTAGGAGCTAAAGGAGGTCCACAGAGGAGTGTCAAGTTCATATCACAAGGAAGTACACATGGAGTATATGGTAAGGGAATAGGTTCTAGAGGCAGGAGTTAGAGGATGGCAACAGAATCAGTGGGATTTCTAGGTCTTTGAAGTACAGAACCCCTCTCTGATCACTTCACGTGAGCTTGGTTATGGGAGCAGCGGTATTAAACATTAAGTATTTAAGGCTTAACCATTTTAGATTTTGTTGAGTGTGGTGGATACAAATTGTAATCTCTGTGATAAATGAACTAGCAGTATTTTTGTGGAGGAGAAAGTGCAAACAATAAAATAACGAATGATCAATTAAAGGCAGCACACATTTGCACACTAGGTTTCAACTATGTGGAGTCATTCTTTCTTTCATTCTTGTTACCTTGCGTTTAGCTTCCTTAAAACTATCTAAATGCAGGTTGAACCATTCCACCCTAGTGCTTAAAAGCCTTGAGGTGTGACTTATTGCCAGGAGGATAAAGCTCTAGCTCCTCCTTGTGACAGGAAAGCACCTCCTCCCATGCTCTGGTCCTGGCCCACCACTCTATCCCTGTCTTCCACCATTCTTCACCTCAATTCTAATGCTTTTTCAGAAATGAGTTTCTTTTAATTGCACTTGGCTACTTTCCTCCTGACATCTGGGTCCCCTCCTCACATTCTATGCTGTTTCTTGCTTCAGTGTCTACTCATGATTTTCTCGCTACCTGAAATGCTCTCACCTCCATACTTATCATTTTCCACAGCAATCATTGATCACTTCAGGATGACTCCTTTTCAGCAATGTTTATTGCAGGTTGAACATTAACTTTCTTTTAGTATATTGCAATTATCTGTTGATTGTCCATCTTCCATAATGGATTGTTAAGCTCCTTAAGAATATGGACTGGTTTTAGTTGGCCTAGTATTCTCAGCACTGGTATATCTTCTATAAATTACTTAGAACATGATGGCTCAAGAAATAAAGGGCTCTGTTAGTCAAGAGGCTTCCTGGAGGAGATGAAACTTAAGCCGGGACTTTGAAGATTTCCTAGTAGCAATAAGCAGAAGAATGGGAAATAGAATTCTGTGCAAAAGACATTTTTGGCCTCAGGCAAAATCACAAAATAGTATGCAGTCAAACGTCTCCCACCCACATTTGGCCCTCAGCCACCCAGTTTCCACCTTTTAGGTAACTGATCTTCTAGACTATTTGTATTAAAGAGAACTTAAATTTTGCATGATAATAAATGTAATATATACTTATTAGTCTCACAACCTGGAAAATAAAATTGTTAGGGTTTGGTATGTATATACACATACATGAAAAATATTCATATATATATATTTTTTTTTTCCTGTAGCTTTCCCCTCTAGTCTTAATCATTTGATGTAATCTCATGTCTTAATATAAACACACACCTCCCTTTGAATAGCATATGAGATCTTTCCTGCAGGTACAAAGACCCATTTTCCAATCTCTAGAAGCTCAATTATATATCTTGGCTTTCATATGTATCTCTCCTGCTTGGAATGTTCTGCCCACTCTCCTGTCGTTTGCCTGGCCAACTCTTACCAGTCCTTCAAAACTTAGCCTACAAACTACCTTCTTCAGAGAGCCTTCCTTAACCTTGATTCTCACATCCTCCTTGACCCTCAGTCTGGGTTTGGTCTCTCTCTGCTCTCACAGCACCTACACTTTCCCAGACATTGTCATTTATCATATTTCCACTAAAAATCTTGAATAATTTGAGGAAACTAGAATTTAAAGAAGAGTATTTTGATAATGGAGAGGGAAAACTAGA